TGAGCCAGTCTGCTAACTTATGTCTTTTAATGGGCAAGTTGAGTCCTTTGAAATTCAGATTTATTTTCACCATCTGTGAATTCATTGCTGTCATCTTGTTCATTTTATGTTGGGTGTTTTCCTATCTCCATTCACATCAGTGTGCTGTGTTTGTGTAGGGAGCTACATTCTTGCCTTTTCCATCTGAGGCAATGTTCTTACTAATTGTTTTCAGCATGTTGACTTCTGGGTGGAGACGCGCTATATGATGTTCTCCTATATGTTCTTGGTAGATGTTGGTCTTCTGACCACAGTAATTTGGCAAGAATTTTCTGCAGGGTTGGGTGTCATATGGAGAATTCTTTTAAGTTTTTCCTTGTCCTGGAAGACTCTTACCTCACCATCTATCTTAATAGATAATTTTCAGGGTAGACGACTTTTGGGTTGGTATTTTTTTCTTTCAGCTTTCGGAAGATGTTACTCCACTCTCTCTTCCTCGTAATGGTATCTGCTGATAGGTCTGAGCATATTCTTACCTGAGCACCACTGTATGTGACCACATTTTTTTCCTCTGGCTGTTCTTTAAATTTTTCTCTTTTTCCTCAAAGTTAGATAATTTAATTATTTTCCTTGTGAGTTCTTCCTGAGTTTTAGACTAATATGTGTCCTCTCCGCTTCCTGTATGAGTGTCTGATTCTCATTCATTATGAATCATTTGTTTGTTTATAAAATTTCCCCCTTTTTATAATGGTCTTCTGGGGTGCCCTCGTACCAGAGCTGTGCCACACTGTCCCCCAGAGAAGAAAACCGGATTATCAGAATGGGTTTGGGGCTGACTGGAACTAAATTCTTCTCTGGCTGCACTCCTGTGCCAATCCTGTCTTTATCCCGCACAGCACTGCTGGTTGTGCTCTGGGAAACTGTGTTCTGTCACAGGTAAATATCCCACCAACCCTTCAATTCCTGCAAATTATTATCTAATTATCTACTGTTACCAGTGCTGACAGGCGTGAGCTGGGCAGAAGGGGAAAGGGAATGGCTGATGTAGTTACTCCATTCCTGGATTGCAGGAACAGGGAGAATAGCCAAGTGGGGAATCTGGTGTGAGGTCTTGTGGCTAGTTCTTGGAGGCTCTCCTCGAGCCTGGATTGTGACCACTTTTAGACAGCAGCCTGGGGAAATTACTGCTCGCTGCAGGTCTGCTATTTTGAACACAGGAAGGGATAGTGGGTGACATCCCGCTGGAACTGGCAAGGGGTTAGTGGAGCCCATGGAGAGACGCAGTGAGCTTAGAGCATTTCTGCAAGTTCTCGAGTTGCTTTATGGGTGAAAATCACATGGGGAGTTCTGAACCAGACCCTACTACACGGAATTTATTTTTAGCACCCGTCTCCCAGTATTAGCCTCTTTATCTCTTAATTTTCTGGCCTAGCAACAGGAGCGCTGGGCAGTTGATTCTACCTGGGCGCCATCTTGACTCTAAACCTGATTTGGGTCTTCTTTTCATTGAGTCGTAATCCTTACTGAAGTCTGAAATCCTGGACCGTTATCATCGTGTGTTTCAAATCCTCCTCAATTTCAATAAGCAAAGTTGAGTCATCTGCATTTAGCAGCTTGTTGAACCTTCCTCCAATCCTGATGCTGAGTTCTTCATATCATCCAGTTTCTCTGATCATTTTCTCAGCATAAAGATTGAATTAGCATGGTGAGAGAATGCCACTCTGAAGCATACCTTTCCTGATCTTAAACCATGCAGTCCTCCCTTGTTCTGTTTGGCTGTCAGAGCTAGGCCCAATATTACAAAGTAAAAGACTGTTATTTAGCTAGCTGCCCATAACCCCCGCCACCTGGAGCTAGGGCACATCTTACAAGTTATAAGGACTCTGTCCTTAGACTACTAAATAAGTAAAGGTCAAGCACAAGTTTGGGAGAGTACAACATCTCAACTTTTGAACAGCTGGCTACAATTTCAGGATGCCAGCTGCAAGTTTAGGGGTCTCACCTGGGCTCTCTCACTTCTGACCTGCTGGTTCCCACTACTTCTTTAAGAATAACTTGTAGGGAGGATTCACAGATAAAGCATGATTTAACAAATACATTTGTTGAGGGAAAAAAAGTATGCAAATGAAGAGACACCTCGGATGAGGTCTCAGGCGGGTACCAACCAAAAGCGACCTCCTCCTCTCTCACAAGCTTGGGTCATTCACCCACAAGGACACACTGCCCTCTCATAAACACAGGCCATTCTATAACCAGGACATGCTACTCTCATATGCATGGGGTCGTTCACCAAACCATGAAGCTTTCAGATTGATTTTTTATTGTGGGTCTCATTTTGTAACGCAAAGTCTCCAAAGAGGCCAGCTGATGCCTTCAGGTGGCCTTTCTGGACTGAGCAGCTCTATTCCCTGAGATTTTTAAGTCTCCCACATGATATACAAAATCTCAAAAACAGAGGCATTGTTATACAGTGGATATTTCTGGACTAGTTCGCCTCCACTCAAGCCCTTTCTCACCTCCCTTAACTTATAAGTTAGAGTTGGCCTGGAGTTTGTAGAAGACATATACATTCCAAGATTTTTAGAGATTGTCTCTCAGGAATTGGGGGCAGAGGCTAAATTCTTGGGTAAGGTTGGTGTGAGCCCCACAGAAGGGTTGCCGCAGGGTGGGTTTCATGGGTAGTTCTCTGGTCGTGGAGAGTGAGCTCCTTTTCATCTCGTTTTTGAGCTTTTGGAGATCTTCTGTGTACAGGGAGTTGGCCATTTTATTGTTAATTTGTTCATTGTATCGTCTAGTTACAAGCCTTCTTTTGGTTACATGGGGGCAAATTCTTGTCATTCTGTGGCCTGCCTATTCACTCTTTAGTAGTTAGTGCCTTTTGAAGCAGAAGTTCTTCATTGTAAATGTAGCCAAATTTGAGTAGTGTTTCTTGCATCTATTTAGGGAATCGACCCAGCCCAAGGTTTTAAAAATAACTACCATTATGTTTGAAAGGAACCCTGGTGGCATGGTGGGTTATATGCTGGGCTGCTAACTGAGATCAGTAGTTCAAAGCCACCAGCCACTCCTCTGGAGAAAGATGAGGCTATCTACTCTGGGATGAGGCTATCTACTCCCATAAAGAGTTCAGTCTTGGAAAATCCCTGCCCTAACGAGTTGCTCTGAGTTGGAACTGATGGGGGCAGTGAGTTCTATTTGAAGGAGCCCTGCTAGTGCAGTGGATAAAGTTCTTCATTGTTAAATGAAGATTCAAAAGGGTTCAAAACCACCAATTGCTCCGTGGGAAAAAAGATTTGAGTCTGATTTCATAAAGAAACCCCCCTGTGCAGTTCTGCTCTGTCCTATAGGGTCCCTGTGAGTTGAAATTGACCTGACAGCAGTGAGGTAAAGTGAGTTGTCTTCTAGGAACCTTACTGTTTTATCTTTTACTGTGGGGTTCACAATCCATCTGGAATTGATTTGGAGGTATGGCACCAGGTGAGGGTCAGATTCTCTACAATTACCCCGGGGGCACCCCCACCACCTGTGGATATTCAGTTGAGCCAACCCAATATATTGGGGGGTGGGGCTTTTCTTATTACCCTGAACCCTCCCTTTATTGTAATCAAGTGTCCTTATATGTATGATCTAATCATAGCCTTTCTGTTCTATTCATTTGGTTCATTCACTTGCACCAGTTCAACACTGTATTATTTATGGATAAAGTCTTTTGAACTAGTAGAATAAGTCGTCCTTCCAGCCCTTGAAAGGAGAGCTGGTGACTGCCAACCTCAAGGTCGACAGTTTAAGCCCATAGTCATTCTGAGGAAGAAAGTTGAACATAATCCAACCCCTCAAGTCTTTCATGTATTCTCTCAGAAGTCTTCGTGGTGTAGTAGGTTACACATTGGGCTACTAACCAGCAGTTTGAAACTACCAGCCGCTCCTATAATGTTAGTCTTGGGAACTCACAGGGGCAGGTCTACCCTGTCCTAAAGGGTCACTATGAGTCAGAATGGACTCAGTGGCAGTGAGTTTGGTTTTGGGTTCATCCATCAGGAAGATTTACTTGCACTGCCATTAATAACTTACAGAGGAAATTCATCAGATGCAGCTCTTAGTAACTGCCCATCATTAAAGTTATTTTTCACGATATTTGATTTTGACACTATTCTCCTTAAAGTATTGAATGACATTTTTAAAAAGAGAAAACAGGTCACACTTTGGCACAGAAGTCATTGACGATTATTTTTTAGATTCTTGACAAAAGGTTTACATCCTTTTCATTGTACACAGGGACTAAGCAAAGATTGAGGTGAATGAAAACCAACCCACCCACCTTGAGGTATTAGCATATTTGGAGACAAATTCCATCCCTCAAAACAGATTGCATTGATTTGAGAGAACAATCATATTCTAAATGGAGTGGAGTGTATATTTTCTTTATGAAAATATTCTAGATTTTAGGTTTCAGTTTACAGTGTGGGGTGATAAATTAAAATTAAAACCAGGAACCAATCTTCTCATGCTTATCAGGTGCCAGAGGGTCCTGAATTGGGATACGTGGATTAGTAATTACATGTGAAACACATTTTATTATGTGTGGAGGAAGTAGTGGTAAAAGGAAACCTTACTTTTCAAACACATTCTTGTCTCCTCTAGACCGTCTGTGTCAACGCTGTGGTGGAGAAGGTAACAAGCATTTTCCAAGAAGAAGACTCCATAAGGCAGAACAGAGAGGAGAGTGGAAAGCCCCGGAAAGCCTTTTCTGAGCCCTTGCGCTCTGAGCCTTCGTTTCCTGACGGTGAAATCGCAGCCAAACCCTACAGGTCCTTGCCGGAGAAGCCGGACATGTCCCAGCGGCCCAAGCGGCCTGCTAAGGAGCCGAGTAGTAAGATCCAGGTTTTACATTCTGTGTTTGACTAATTAACTGAAATGGATCAACGAGCAAACTTGAGCAGAGATATCACTGCGCAGAGAGCTTGAGAAGTGTCTCTATGGCACATCTCATCTGACAAAGCTCTTGCTGGAGTGTCCCCGTAGCAGGGGATGCTCTCTGCTTGTAGTAAAGGGAGGTGGGAAACTACTACAGAAATATCATTGCTCCAGTGTTTATATGGTAGAAAAAAATAAAACAAATCTTGATATGAAATATGCATATGATCGTATTTTAATGAACAAGAAAAGTCACCTTTTAGTCGATTAGACTTTCTACTGTGGTTTGTAAGGTGGGGGCCTCTTTAAATCAAGGTCCTTTGAGTCAAAACCTAGCTGGAGTGTCTTTCCAAATATTGATCAGGTAGAAACCCTATCAAGATAATACATATTGAAAAAAAAGAAAAAGAAAACAGATAGTACTTATTTTCTTTCAGGCGTAGTAAGTGGGTATTTGTTTTTTATCTGCCGGCAGCATAGTTTTAGTTTCCCTATTTATTATAAATTGTTCTAAAATTTATCTACAGGGTAAAAGACTTACAATTCAGAGATGTCATGAAATGATAAAACAACACACTGTTTGTAAATTTGATGAGAAGAGTTCTATACTCGAGGACAAGTCAGGATATAACTTTTTGTTTTTCATGTGCAGATTTAGGGGAACAATTGGAACTTGGGGAAGAAGCCAAATCTGCCATTGCTACCACTGGGTCCTCCAAACCAAAAACCAAACTCAAGGCTGCTGAGCCGATTCAGACTCACACTCACCCTATGGGTCAGGGTAGAAGTGCCCTTGTGTATTTCTGAAACTGTAAGCTTCATTTTTCTCCCACAGAGCAGCTGGTGGTTTTGAACTGCAGACCTTGCAATTAGCAGCCCAGTCCATTACTACTATGCCACAAGAGCTCCTTACCACTGGGTCTTAAGGTTGATGCGGGTGGGGGTGGAGGGAGGGAAGTGAGAGTGGAGTTGTTTCTGTAATTGGTCCTACAAACTAGTGCCATGGTTTTTGCCTTTAGGGAGTACTTATGTTTCTTTCATGCAATTTAAATTCACTCATTGGAGGATAAGCACCCAATGAAATGCATCCCTCCTAAATGCACATTTCCTGTGCCAGGTGAGTAGCTACTGCCCTGACAGTAATAAGAACCATCTCAATCTTGGTTCATTAGTAGTCTGAGAAATGGGTAGCTAGTGTTGTACACTTTCATACTCACCCATATGCTGACAGATAAGGCAATGTATTACATAATGTGTAGCAAGGGGCTAAGCAGAACTGGTGTGACGCATACCTACTTCCCTTACTATTTTCACAACAACCAAGGGGAAGATTCCAGCTAGGAATGATTCAGTGCCAGGTACGGGACCCTCATTCAACTCACACTAAAAAGACTACCAGGTTTAAAATTAGGTTCCCATCTTGACCAACAGCTCTCCTCCACTCTGCAGTCATCATCGGCTCACCTTCATCCTCTCTGGTCCCACTTACTCCCCACACACTCACCTACGATGACATGCTGAGCATTACATAACCAGTTCAGGAGGTCACTCTACACAGCCTAATAATGAACAACTAGCATGGCCTAGGCACCGGCCACCAGAAATGCAGTGGCCAGAGACAAGGAGCAGGCCCAAACCACAGTGGGCCACGTAAACTCAGCAGGAGGACTTGGAGAAAAATCAAAGCCTTCTCTGGTGTTGACGTGAAACACTTGGTTGGACCTAGATGTGCTCGAAAAGGAAAATCCTTTATTTGAACAAGTGCGGGAGGCATTCGCAGCACTCCAGCCCACATCTCTCATGGCCGGGCAACAGCCGTGTGTGACTGCCTTCTCGTCTGCTGACCTTCTCTGGGGAGTAATGGAGCCAAGGGTCATGTGGTTTTGAAATAAACTGGATTCTCCAGATCCTGATGGTAATCCTTACATTAAATGAGAGATGTGTGTGTTAAAACTTTGAACTTACATGACTTTTAAAGACAGGTCATCACTGGGCCTATGGTTAAAAAGAAAATCCATCATCTTTGGTTCTCATAAAAATATTTTCAAAGCACACACAATTTCTTTTCGTTGCCACACATATATCCTTGATCATGAACTAACTCTGAATAACCTTGAAGTCTCCAGTAGCATAAAAATCAGAGTCGCATCTAAAAGGCTCTGTAGAAAGAGTCACGTAAAGGTTCCCGTTGTCCACTGTCACCGTATGGGTCCTCTGCTTTATTCCTTTGGAGCACCACGTGGGCTTTGCTGATGGGTCTCTCGGGTTTTTGGCCTGATATAATCCTTCTCCTGTTGCCAAGGTAATTTTGAATTTATGCCAGGGACAAACAATACAGGATCGTCCATCGAAATCCTAGAAAAGGAAATAATCAATTGAATAGCCTGACATTTCAAATGTTCACAAGAATATCAGACTCAGAACCTCCTGCAGAAGAACCAGGTTAAAGAGCCGGCCCAAAAGTTCCTTTATTTTCCTTCTCGTTGACAAACCCTTCAGCAGACTTCAGGTGTAGCCCAATCTGAGTAACGTCATCAGGTCCTTTCTCGGCTGATCAGAAACCCAGGGGGTTATGCTAGTCAGCTATGCCACATGGCAGGAAGGGGCTGATCTCTCTTGGATGTTAATGCCACTTCTTTGGCAGAAATGGAGCAGAGGCTTTGCCAGTTTCTGAAGGAATTTTCACTAACTGCTACAAGAATAATAAACGTTAGGTATAAACTCCAGGGGTATTACTAAAGGCATGAGCCCCTATGTTAATTGAAGAGAAATTAGTGATCCAAATAAGTCAAGCCCCAATTCTGAAGGTTTGTGACTTTATCAAGGCAGTGCTTTGCAACGTGTAAAGAGCACCAGCACCACCTGAATTTTGAACTACATTTGAATCTTTTCAAGTGAGGCCTGAGATTCGGTAGGATTAGGGTACGTTCTGAGAGTCTGCCGTTTTAAAACTCTTCCAGGCTCTGGTGGTACAGTGGTTACGTGTTGGGCTTCAATCCGCATGGTCTGAAGTTCAAAAGCACCAGCTGCTCCTCGGGACAAAGACTGTGGTTTCCTATGTCCATAAACAGCTACTGTCTCGGAAACCCACAGGGAAGTTCTACCCTGTCCTCTAGGGTCGCCATGACTCAGAATGGACTCGGGGCAGTGAGTTTGGAGTTTGGGTTTCTGAGGTGGCACTCTGGGGCTGCCAGTCTGTGGACTGAAAGCTCTCATGTGGACGGACATGGAGAGGAGCCCTTCTACGACGGCCATCACCCGGTGCTGACGGTTCTCTTCTGCACTTCAAGGGCAGGAGCCCGGATGTTGCACTCCCACAGACCCTTCGGCACCCTCTCACAGGACTGAAACACATGCATGTCCCTCGATGTAAGGAGCGGAGGCCTGGACACAGAGCTCAGTTCAGGCTTGTGCTTTACACTGGTCAGAGAGAGTCCACCCCTCCGGGAAGTCAGCACCAAGGAAAGGTCCTCCGCAGTTATGCCTTTGAAGAGGGGTTCCATTTATTGATGTGGGGGTGTGCAGTTACATATCTATATAGATTTGTGTTACATTATAAAAGTAATGTGTACTCATTATAGGCACTTAAAAATTTTTAATGTAAATATGTCTGAAGTAAAAGGTGAACATTGTTTTTCACAGAAAGAGGTCACATTAGACTTAATATTCCTCCTCTTGCTTTCTTCACTCAAAAATATATTATTATTGACATCCTGCTCATATGGCACACTCACTGCCATCGAGTCAGTTCTAAAGATGACTTGCTAGGTAAGTATGTCATGCGGCGGTGCCCAGGCTGATCTCTCTTGGATGTAATGTCACTTCTTTGGTCGAAACGGAGCACAGGCCTTGCAAGGTTCTGAAGGAGTTTTCACTGGTTTTGAACTGCTGACTTTGCAGTTAGTAGCCCAACTCATTACCCAGAACAGGCTACCAGCCACTAGTTGGGATAAAGACTGGGCTTTCTATTCCCATAAAGAGCCACAGCCTCAGAAACTAGCAAGGGCAGCTCTACCCTGTCCTACGGCATTGCTGTGGGTCGGCACCAACTCTTGGCAGTGAGTTTGGTTTTGCGGTTTCACATGGCTGTGCAGTACTTCTTTGAATGGCTGGATCCTAATTTACTTGTCCATCTTCCTACTGTCAAAATAGTTAGGTTGCCTGCAATATTTCCATTATAATAAATAATGCTGCACAAACATCCCCATTCATGCATGCATGCATGCGCACACACATTTACGCTTTTGTGTAATTCTATCTGTAAAATAAGCATCTCAAACTATAAGTGCACAAATACTTATATGTGTGTGTGCATAGTGAAAGGAAGGTGATTTGTTATGGCTTTCTTTAAATGGCAGCGTTGTGAATTCCTGGGATATTTGTGATCTTACTCAAAGCATTAAAATATCGTTCACTGGACTGTGATTGCATGAATCATCTCAAAGATGATTTGACCATGGAGGAGGGAGAATGCTCTAAAATTGATGGGGGTGGTGTTGATTGTACACTTCTCTGTAATATGATTGAAAGACTGAACTATTGAATTATATATGTAAATTACTTGCAAATAAAACTGCTGGAAAAATAAAATATGGTTCACATGCAAATATAAATTATCTTAAGTTATGACAAAATAATAACAGGAAACATCTGAGTTTCTTGAAAACAGATTTGGTTTTACATACCTCAATCTCTCCCAAATGTAAAGGCCCTCCCGAATCTGGAAAGGAATGGAATATGACATCTGGTCACGAAACCACGTGATACACTGATGGCTTTGCGGTCAGTAAATAAATACAAGGTTTACAC